AAAAAAAAGAAAAAGGGAGTGTGACATGAGCAGCTCCTTCTCAAAAACTGACGTGGCCGTATTTGTTCCTTGTTTTTTTTTTTCTTTTTTTTTTCTTGTTCCAAGACCTTGGCTGTTTTTTTTTTTCGTTTTTTTTTTCTTGTTCCAAGACCTTCGCTGGTTTTTTTTTTTCGTTTTTTTTTTTTCTTGTTCCAAGACCTTCGCTGGTTTTAAACACGAGCACAACACTTTTTACGAACCTCGGTTTTCCGGGTGGTTTCGTTATGATGCTATCATTTCAGATCTTCTTCCCCTAAATTAATGCACCTGGTACAATTAACTGACTAAGTTCAATGCTCTTTTGTAGCACTGCTCAACTGCGGCCACGTCCCAAACACGTCCAGATTCAGGTGTTAAGGAAAGAAACGCAAAGCTGCTAGTGGGACTTGGCCCCTGGTCACCGGAGGCTGGGCTACGAGTGCCAATGTCCAGCAACAAAATCCCAACTACGCACGGACATGCACTCACACATCACACTCACTCCCTTTTTTTTTCTGTCACAGTGGGCTTGTGTTTAGCGAATATTAGCGAAATAGTATGTAACCAACTCGCCGCACATTCGAGTCCTCCCAGCTCCAGCCCGCCCGGACTACCACCGGGGACTGTGAAGCTCCCTCCCCTTTAAAATTTGTTGTTTTGAACCACCAGTACATCCGAAAAATGAGATTGAGACTCTCCTAAAAAATAGGAGGGCGTTGGACCCGGTTCCCAAAAAAAAAAAAAAGGTTTCCAGTATTGCCTCAATCTGGGTATTGGCCCCAGTCCTCCGGGTTGAGATGTGGAGTTTCCCGGCGGCCTCCTTTTGCTCCTGTTATCAGGAAACACTGCTATTCAGAATCAGAATCAGAATCAGAATCAGAAGAATCAGAATCAGAATCAGAATCAGAAGAAGAAGAAGAAGAAAATAATAATAATAATAAGGAGGAGGCATGAACCACCGACTCATTTTATTGAGTACGGTCCATGGCCTCCAAATTTTTATTATTATTATTATTATTATTATTATTATTATTATTATTTTAAAGGGTGACGGCCTTGAGATATCATCATTGAGCTGACCTGCCCCAGGCAATTCATTAGTAGCTGGTTTTTACTCATCAAGTTCCATCATCTGGATTTGAACTCAGGTCTGTATTTCAACAGTTCATGGGTGTACCCACTGAGCTAGGCTCTTGAGTGCCTCCATTTTTTTATTTTTTATTTTTTATTTTTTTATATTTTAATTTGGACCATTTCTCGATTTATGCGTGTCATCCTTGCGCAGGGGCCATGCTAATCTTCTCTGTATCGTTCCAATTTTAACGGATGTCCCGAAGGAAGCCTCCAAAATTTCAGGAGAGGCTCAATCTGCATTTTCGGATGTACTGGTTGTTTTTTAAACCATCAGTACCCCAGGGGGTCTTAGGCCCCCCCTGGGGAGGCTCTGAGGCAAATGCATATGGACCTGCACTGCGCACCGATTCAGCCACCGGGTTAACAGCCTAAAAACGTGGAGGTACTGGTGGTACTGTGGGCCCCGGTGTTACTTTGTTGGGATCCTGAAGTATGGGGGGAAAAAACAAAAAACAAAAAAAACGGAACCTACTCACACATCGTCTGAAACTGTTTGTTGCTTTTGTTTGCATCTTCTTGCCAGGTATCGGATGCGGGGCGATACGATATCGACAGTTCGCAAGTCTTGCCGTTTATTTTACGGATATTTAATATAGAGGGATTAGTTCATTTCCATTGATAATTTATAGCTATGAATTACTTACTATCTAGTATCTTTTTTTTTTTTCTTTTTTTTTTTTTGTTTGTTAGTATCTACTTAAAGTCTTAAAGTTTTTCCATGCATACGCTGTAATATAATTTTACCCCAGGCAAGGAATGAATGGCGCTATCACCCCCCTGTTCTTTTCTCTGTTATCTTCATCCTACCCTTGCCTCTCACCTCCTCATGTTCCTTTTTTTTTTTTTTTTTCTTCCTTTCCCGTCAATACTGAACCCCAAGGGCCAAGGCCCCTTCCCCTCTTCCTCTTTTCTCCTCCCCCTCTCATCTCGTCAATAGGGTACTACGCGATTGTGTTTGTTACTCCGTCTTATTACCAGCCCCCTTTCTATCAAGGAGCTCTGTGCCAGCAATTTACACTGGGTGACTGGGGATCAAACTGCCGGCCGACGATAGATCGCCCTGCCTCTCAGGAAAGTTTTCACCATCAGCAGTACTGTGGGTCTTTCTCTTCTCCTCTTATCTTCTTCAGAGGCTTGAGTATCTTGAGTATCTTGAATATGTCTTGAGTATCTTGAGTATCTTGAGTGTCTTGAGTGTCTTGAGTATCTTGAGTGTCTTGAGTATCTTGAGTGTCTTGAGTGTCTTGAGTGTGTTGAGTTGAGTGTGTTGAGTGTCTTGGGTTCCTGAATCATGCGGTGATTTCTGTGTGTAAGCTTCTCTGTACTAATCCCGCAATGATTGCAACTGGCCTCAAGTTGTGTGTATATCATGATGAGGTGTGTGTGTGTTGCCGTGCTCACCATCGTGCTCACCATCGTGCTCACCATAACTGCTCGTACCAGACTCCGTCCATCCAAAAGAAGGCATGACTGTACCAGATTCTCTCTCTCTCTCTCTCTCTCTCTCTCTCTCTCTCTCTCTCTCTCTCTCTCTCTCTCTCTCTCTCTCTCTCTCTCTCTCTCTCTCCATGCACATATCATTAAAAAAAAAGCATCCATAAAGAAAACAAGGTATAGATGAGCGATATAATAGAAGGTGCAAGGTTGCCCGCGGTTGTGTGGTTGAGCGGGAAGTGTGCCCACACACCCATCTGCCGCCAAAGCGGCACAATTGCACAAATATACATATAGCTTTTGCAATCTATAAAAACAGAGGTAAAGGGCAGAAGGCAACGTACCTAGCACAGAAGGATCCACCAATGAACCAGGGCACTGGGTTCTTTAGGGCGGCTGTGGGCCGTTAGGAGAGTGTCTGTAGGGGCCCAGACCAGTTCCTCTGCCCCGAGTTAGGCCCAGATTTAGTGTGGTAGCCTAGACTAACAGTCATTGGTCTGATGACACATTCAAGAAAAAAATTCATCTCAACCATTTCGATCAATTATGAAGGAATGTTCAAGTTCTGCTTTTCTACTTCAGCTTACATTTTTTTTAAAAAAAGAAAGACAGAGTTCTCGAACTCAATAGATAGCAGTGAGATCCGAAGGCAAAGGCCTGGAAGCTAAGCGGGCTGATGCCGTCAGTACTCCGGGTCGAATTGTGAGGTGCCCGGCCTCTTGCTTGAGATGATTAATGAACTGAGTTTTCATTTACATGCAAAAAACAAAAGAAGAAAAAAAGCAAGGCTCCACCAGCAAGAAAGCACGGACCAGATCCCGCAATAGACCGAAAGAACTTGCATATAGCCCTCCGAGTCAGCCCACAAGCACAGCAGCACTGGCACTTTTATTCCTCCCAAACAACACACTCACGTCACCTCTATCATCATCTTTATCACTCCATGGCTAAACAACCCCCATCTGGAGTGTATAGAGTACCATAATCCCAAAGACCACAAGATCTTCACGTGTGACACCAGGAGGGCTACTGCTTAAAACACGCTGGATGTCCCCGTTTCTTCCAATGCATGTGCTCGAAAAGAGCAGCCCATGGGAATGGCACCCACAGCAAACACTGTGCAAGTCACCGAATAAATTGCCCACTTTGGCGTAGTCAAGTGGGACGTTGCAGATGTCCGCAACGAGACGGACAGGACTTATTTCATGCGTGGAGCATGCATGAAAGACACCGGGAATTGCGAACTCATTCCGGGGGCCATAACCTGTCGTGAAAGGAGATCACTGGATTTAGCCAGTCCTTGGAAGATCTCCGAGCGTGTCTTTCTTTTTTTTTTTTTTTTTTGAAGAACAGCCCGAAACGGTGTTAGGAGTGCTGATAAGAGCAGCCACCTTTTCGGGGAGGCTGTCTCCGAGATGCAGTTGAATGGGGAGTTCGTGAACGCGAGGTGTAGGTAGGATACCAGACCAGACGTGGCAAGGCACGAAGCAATGTCTTCTCTGTATTTACGTTGATCACTGACGCACTCTGTGAGCCTCCTCACCAAAGATACTGTGGTAAAAACTCCAAGCATACAATCACAAAATCTCCAGGGGACAGCAGGGGGG